AAAAGAGAAATTAGACAAGAAAACTGAGCAGGTGAGAGGAAGTGAGCAGGTGGTGAGCAGTTCTAAAGATCTAAAGGTGTCTGTGTTATATAATATTATATCTTAAATGTTTGGGTCAGTAAGATTTAGTTTAAAGGGCACCTATTATGCAAAATTCACTTTAACATGTTGTTTAAGCATAAATGTGTGTTGGTGGCAGTGTTTGTACACAACCAACCTATAATGATAAAAATCCACACGCTCTTGTCGGTGCCAATAGCCTAGTGGGCAAGCCAAGTGCGCCGACATATAGTGCTGTTGCACTACGGGTGTCCCGAGTTAGAATCCCAGCTTGAGGACCTTTCCCGATCCTGCCCCCCTCTCTCTCTCTCCCACTTCACTTCCTGTCTGCTCTCCACTGTCGTATCATAACAAAAAGCAAAAACACCAAAAATAAATCTTGAAAAATAAAAATAATCCACCCGCCCCCCTTTTTTAATCCCCATAAATCATAAGCAGTGTCTCAGAACAAGCCGTTTGCAGAATCCGTAAAATGTGAAATCACATTTTACAGGCCCCACCCACAATTTTTAAAGCAGCATTAAAGTAAGAAATGTATTTTTACTACATGCATAGAAGTTATTCATTTAAAAGCAGTGATTGATTTTCTGTTTTTATTTTATTGTTTGGGTCATAATAACATCAGAGACAGCAGTATAGGTACTGTATATTATGCTGCTGTCACTTAATATTCAATTCAATTCAAGTTTATTTGTATAGCGCTTTTCACGATACAAATCGTTGCAAAGCAACTTTACAGCAAATTAAGTTTCTACAATATTTAGTGGTAGCTTATCAGTGGTGACTGTCAGTTAATGTACATATGGCAGAAATGTACGGAAAAATCAATTAAAGACGTAATCAATTAAAGACGTAATCAAACAGACGATGAACACTATTAACAGCAATTATTATATGATGCAATCAAACTTACAGCAAAATTTGGTAGTTCTGTATGTTGTTTCAGGGTTGGCATCATCTGAGGTCCTCTGAGGGGTTGGCATCATCTCTTCTCAGGTGTTCTGGATGTCAAAACAGACAAACAAATAGAGACATAATTAGTGTAGCTGCTGTTCCAACCAAGCAAAATTGATTTGTTTAACCAAAGCTAAAGAATAATAATGTGCTTAATACTTAGATCTAATATAAACATGCAATCTTTTCCAGACATAACCAACTGTGTTTTTGTAACTTATGCATGTTTTTAACATAAACTTGTGTGTATTCAACAGTTTAAGTGCAATAAGACATGAAAAAGAACTTAGTTTAGTACTCACATGCCATGTGACAGCCGCTTTCTGTGCGTATGCTTCAGATGTGTGCGCTCAGAAAATGGTATAGCCAACGCTATCTCACAACCAATTCGTAAGTATTTTACGAGGTGGCTAATTCGTACGACCTCAATCGTACGATTTTGTGACGGGTAGGTTTAGGGGCGGGGTTAGGTGTAGGTCATTCATACAAATTCATACGAATTGTGCAACTTGTAAAATATGAATTTGTACGAGTGAGGTCGTACAAATTCGTATGAATTAGCCACCTCGTAAAATATGTACGAATTGCTGTGAGATTGGGCTGGTATATCAGAAGTTTAAACTTTAAAACGCATTATTTTAGCGTGATAGACATGATAATCAAAACCAAACAGATGGTTTTTTTGGCAGAGTATCAGAGGTGCGAGCTGTAATGGCACAGCCCTATTCTGGAAAAGGGGGTGGAGAGCAGCAGTTCATTTGCATTTAAAGAGACATGCATGCTTCCATTCAAAATAGTCATTTTCAAAATGATGAAATAGATTATCTGTTGGGTATTTTGAGCTAAAGCTTCACAGATACATTCTGGGGACACCTGAGACTTACATTAGGCTTACATCTTGTAAAAAAGGAGCATAATATGTGGCCTTTAAAAGAAATGAATACTTTTATTCAGTAAGTGACAAAAAAGTATAATGTTACAAAAAAATATTTCAAATAATGCTGATCATTTGAATCAAAGAATACTGAATCTATCTAAAAAATATTAACAAGCACAATTTTTTCAACATTGATAATAATAATAGATTATTCTGGAGGACCAAATCAGCATATTAGAATGATTTCTGAAGGATCATGTGACGCTGATAATTCAGCTTGTATCATCACAGGAATCAATTACGTTTAAAATATATTAAAATACAAAACATAATTTTTCCAATACCAAAACACATTTTCATAGTATATGTTCAGCTTCAGATGTGGCTTCTATGCTGCTTTGGCAGTGTGAAGATGGCTGACGTGTGCTGGTGATGCACTGAAATATAGTGGTAACTAGAAATGAAGGAGGAAAGGGAGTAAAAGGAAAGGAATGATAGAATGGACGAAGGAGAGGGGTGTTGGGGTATTTGGGGAGAAGTGGGTCAGCAGCCCTAGGTACCATGGCAACGGAGATATACGAGCATCTGTCTATTGATCTGCAGACTCATTGGTGTAATAGAGTGAGCCAGGTGATAAACGAGCATGTTGACAAGGCCTGCGCCAGGTCACGCTTCCTTTTGCAGCACATCTCCGTCGGCATCTCCTCACATAATATACATGGGATGGTCATCTCATATTATGTATGTTTCATGAATAAACAAAGGAAAACATACAACAAACAATCTCTCAAACATGTTTGTGGGATGGGGAAGCCGTCATCAGCTTGTGAGTCTGAGCTAAACTCAAAAACACTGAAATGTAATCTGCCAAATGAATGGTATGGTAGTTCTATTATCACAGTGTTCATTGCGCCCAGTGGTGTCTTTTACTTTTCACTGTGAATAATTGACTATCCATTTACAAAAAATCTCTCCAGGGACTTGAGGACCAATTTAATGCTTAGCTCAATTTAATGGTTCTCCTTTTTTGGCTTCAGTGTACACTGCAATGTGGTTTTATCTGTAATATGGTTGTGCAGTATGTATGGTCAGAGAAACATTGGGTGTAAGAAGAAAAAGACAAGCCACACATAGGAAAATTAATGGTATTGCTCTATAAAGTGGCTGTAGGAAAGGAAGTCACATCTAGCTTTTAGTTAAAAGATCACCTGATCACCTTATTGGTAAAATCTTCACAGGGGGTGAATTCAGAGTAGCATAATATTCTTACTAGTGATGTGAAGTTCTGTTCATTTTACAGATCTTTGAATCTTGTTTGGCAAACTGTAACAATCTGTATTGAAGTCATTTTGTTTGTTTGAGCAGTAAATTTAGAAGTAATTTACACATTTAAAGTAAAATGTTACATTTTCAATAGCCAAATTCCTCCAAATGCATCCACTTTCGCGAATGTTGCTTATGCAGTTTCCACAAGACCAGTGAACGAAAAAATCGGACCAAAAAAAAAAACAGCAAACACTCAGGAGTTTACACAGTTAGTTACAGAGTATAGATTTATTTATTTCATTAATTGCTGACTGCATTTATGCATTACGTAAGCTTGGCAGCCTTTTTTTTTCATTTTGGCCTTTCCTCGTTCTGGTAGATAACAGAAAATAGCTGCATTGGGGTGTTGCCAAGATGATCACCAAGTGAGCGGACTTTGGATTTTGGTATTGTGTGCAGAAATGCCATTACTTTGATATTAAATTTCACAGTTCTGTATCGCCACAAATTAGCACAAGAAAATACTCTGATAAATACAAAAATTCTCCAATTCCCACCCGTCCTTGTTATTCAAAGGGTTCTCAGTGTACTTACAGTGACCTTGTCTAGCCTGTCAGAGTATAGATTTATTTATTTCATTAATTGCTGACTGCATTTATGCATTACGTAAGCTTGGCAGCCTTTTTTTTTCATTTTGGCCTTTCCTCGTTCTGGTAGATAACAGAAAATAGCTGCATTGGGGTGTTGCCAAGATGATCACCAAGTGAGCGGACTTTGGATTTTGGTATTGTGTGCAGAAATGCCATTACTTTGATATTAAATTTCACAGTTCAGTATCGCCACAAAAGAAAATACTCTGATAAATACAAAAATTCTCCAATTCCCACCCGTCCTTGTTATTCAAAGGGTTCTCAGTGTACTTACAGTGACCTTGTCTAGCCTGTCAGCTGCATGTAATTGTCCAAACATATCTATCAGTCGCCCATTGCTGTCAGTGTTGCCATGATAGAGAGGTTTGACCTCCAGCAGCCCACCAAAAGATCCTACATCCGTACTTTAACTGCTTTAACTGCTGGCAAGCAGCACAGGGGACAGGAACACACTGCTTGGCCACATTCCAGGGAGAATAGATGGCACATTGCTTTTAACAGCATTAGCATTCCACCATTCCTGTATATAATTTAGTGCTTTTACTCTGAGAAAATGGACAGGAAGAGGACTTGTAATGGGTGGGAAAACATCCCTGATTTTGAACCAGATAAGCCTGGGTTCTGTTTAAGGGGACATTAATTATTTTATTAGTTCATTATTTTCAATTGTATTTTAAGTCCTCTGTAGTAATGTCGCTTTTAAGTTTATATTTTTTTCATTGGTTTTTATACAGTATTTTATGTCAGGTTTTGAACCAAAAAGTCAGGATAATATTCTGTTCAGTTTTTTTTATGTTTTCCACCATGTTTGCTCTCTCTTTTCGACCATTTTCTGCCAGTGGCTTCTATTGCATTATCCTTGATTACATATTTATTGCCTTGAATTATGATCTTGGTATCAAGATCTGTAAAGACTGTGAAATGTCTCCAAACTTAATGTATGCTAGATGGTTTGTAGATGTCAAAATTCCATTAACACATTATTCTTAGTTGAATAAACGTTAAAAAATGTAATGTGTATCTCTGTGATTCCATACAAGTATACTGTGCTGTGGTAATGTATGCATAGCTTATATTGTACTGCCTCCTTCTGGATGGAATGGTTATTGTGGCTGTTATACTATTGCTGAAACAGAAGTTCTTAAAAAATCTATCATTCACATCACATATTGCACTTCTTCTGTGATATCCAGAAAGTGTACCGTTGAGTGTCTGCAACCCATGAGCCGTGTGTCAGGACAAGCAGCAGTTCAAACTCTCTGTGGCCTGTCGTCCTCTCTGCTTTCTTCTAATGTAAGTGCTGAGCGCAATCCATCAACATGTTTTTGTCTATTGGTGTTGTGAACTGTTTTCCATATCTGTCTGTTTTTACATATGGAAATGAAGTTTCAGTGAGACAATTGACTCCCTCTCTTTTTTTTCTCAGGGTTTGATGGAGATCTGGTCGGATGACAGCTGGAACTGTTGTCATAACCGGAGGAATTCTCGCAACAGTGATACTTCTGTGTATCATTGCAGTGCTTTGTTACTGTAGACTCCAGGTGAGCATTGCATTTACATTTCATTGCAGGGTTAAGGAGCCATTCACACAGAACATGTTTTCGCATTAACGCAGAAGGTCTATGGACCTTATTTACTGATTATAAAGAATCGCTATTCTAAAAACCCAAAGAAAATTCCTGAATGTCGAATTAGGAGCCATTCACACAGTACAGGTTTTTGAGTTTAAAAACAAAAGACGCAGGGATGATGAATTGGAAACAAAATGCAAAATCTCAAGATGTGTTTTTTAAAAGTTTAACTTGAGCACCATGTTTTTTAGGTCAAATATGTATGTCTAGTGCATATTTACATTGAAAACTAAAGAAAAGCAGCGCAGTGAAATGCAAAAACGTGATCTGTGTGAATGACCCAAAATTGGTTGATCTGTTTAGTCTGCTATCCTAAAATCCACTAAGAATTCCATTTAAAGCTGCAGTCATAAGTTTTGCCTCTTTGTCGCCATCTCTGTTTGAAAACCTGGAATTGCAGCTGTGTGCGGAATTATCTAGCTTGCGTGGGTTGAGAGTCGGCACGGCTCCAGCGTGGATGAATCTAATGTTCTGAAGAGTATGTGTGGCAGTCAGTCACCGCACCGGTGTGGATATTTACTGTACTTCGCAATCACAGATTCTAGCCTATCTTGGAATATGACCCAAATAAGAATTTTCACCGTATATTGCCATCTGAACAAGTAA